TGAGGACAGTTAGACCCCCTGAGCCAGCACCCCAGGGACCAGAAGCTGGGCCTGCTCTTCAGCAGGGTGTGAGCTGAGCTGTCTAGCTGAAGGCTTCTTCTGTGGAGCTCTGTCCTGCTGGACTCTGAGCCCCAAGAGAGGAGACATGGGTGTGCTGTCCTTCCAGCTCACTCTCCTACCAGATGCGGTGTTGGGGATTGTCAGGACACGGACCGGGTACAACCGGGTGCAAACCCGGGTTGTGTTGGGCCCCATGGCATTCTCAATTTGTATTGGTGGCCAACCTTTTAAAAATTAGGGGGTTGCATGTAAAAAATCTAGATTTGTGGATTCTCTTGAAAAGTTCTTGGATTCAGCAGCATTGGGCCCTCATTCCCACAGTTGGCTGGAGTTGCAGCATCACAGTGGTTGTGGACCGAGCACAGGCTCTGCAGTTCCCCGGTGTTCCCACTTTTCCCTAGGGGACCCCACACTCAGCCAGGTCAGCAGGTCTTACAGCAGGCTGGGGAGTGATGTGGCTGGAAGCGGGGCCTTTGCTGTCATCCTGTCTCTGTTCAGATCCTGGCTTCACCCTTTTGAGCAGTTTGGTCGTGGGCAAGTTACTAAATCTTTTGGAGCCTCAGTTGTCCGTCTGTTTGATGGAGGTGAGACAGTGGGCCTACTTCACAGGGCTGATGCATGGACAAAATGACACTCAGCCCTATGTGGTAAGCCTGTGATAGCAGTCGGCTAGTGTTGTCCTTGTTATGACTCTACTTTTTCCTCTTCACCCATTCACATTACCTGCCTGGACTCTCTAGCCCTTTGAATTTAAACTGTGTTCTACTGAGCCCCTGAGGTCTGGGATCCGGTGTCCTCATTTTTTCCTTGGCAGCCATCCCAGTGCCCGGCACATGCAGCAGCTGGGCCCCGTGCGCGTGTGCCGAGTGACTGAATGACAGGGTATGGAGCCTTGGGAGAACGGAGGAGGCAGTGTGGCCAGGGGCTTGGGGCCAGGGCTTGGCTACTCTCAATTCCTGGCTCTGCCCGATTTGTTCTCTAAGCATCCATGCACCTCATTTTCCTTACCTGTAAAATGGGGATAGTAATGGTGTCTGCCACACAGGGTGGGAGGGACTATGTGGGAGCCTGTAAGCCACTTGGCTTAGTTCACACAGAGTGGACCAGGAGGTATTGGGTCATCATTTGACATCTCTTTCTATCTTTCTTTTTTTTTTAATTAAAGATTTTTATTTATTTATTTGACAGACAGAGATCACAAGTAGGCAGAGCAGCAGTTAGAGAAAGAGGGAAGCAGGCTCCCCGCTGAGCAGAGAGCCCGATGCGGGCTTGATCCCAGGACCCTGAGATCATGACCTAAGCCGAAGGCAGCAGCTTAACCCACTGAGCCACACAGGTGCCCGACATCTCTTCCTTTCTTTGGCTGTAAACACAGAGATGTTTTACTTTGTACACTCTTTCCTTCCTGTCCTTACTTTTCCTTGCTTTCTCTGTTCCTCAGCGAGTATCACTCTGGAAACCCTAGCAGTCAGGATGTTCTCATTTGCGAGTATGGGATAAGTCCACTCAGCCAGCTGAGGCAGTAAAGGGCAGGTGTGGCCAGGGATCCAGGGAAAAGCCCGGAGGTGGGGCGGAAACTAGCTTTTTCTCTTCTGTGGTTTTCCTGGCACCGCCATCCTGAGCAGGCTGCAGCCTGATGCTGGCTCCCCTCATGGTTGTAAGGGGGTCACGCAGGTTTAGTCTGGGTCACTTGCTTATCCCTGAGTCAGTCATGGGATCGTGCTGATTGGCTCAGGCTATTAGGACCCACCCTTAGACGGGGAGCTGAGGTCTTACCTGCACATCGCAGGGCTTTCCACAGGGTTGGCAGGCAGCTGTCGGGAGATCTGAAGTTTCTTTCAGAGTTGTGTTAGCTGAGACATGCTGGTGATGCTTTGGGGGCTGCTGCCTCCTCCGAGGCTGGGTTAGCAGAGACACCCCGTTCAGGCACCTTGGAGTGAGCGGTGCGCCTTGGATCCCATGTTGTTGATGCCAAATATAAGATAAGAGAGGTTGGCATTAGTGAGAGTCACAGCACAGTAGAGCTAGGAAGTCAGATCAGTCTCCCAAGACCAGAGAACACCAGTCTGTCCTCCTCAGGACCAGTGGCCCTTCTTCTGTGTTTGTGCATGTGTGTGTGCATGCATGCCCTCGAGATCGACCCTCCCGTGGGCCCTGAGGCTCCTGAGCAGGCATTGACTGCCCCAGGTCTGTGGTCCCTGGAGTGACAGAGTGCAGCCTGGGCAACAATCTGGCGACAAGCACCTCCTCAGACTCCACACACTTCTCCAGAGAGAGCTGGGAGTTGTGTGGGTGAAGGCAGCCGGGGCTAGCCGAGCAAGGATAGGTGGGCTTATGTGAGACCCCCCTCGTGCTGCTCTTAGCCTTAGGAGCCTGGACCTGTGAGAGAGTGGGGAAACTCAGAAATGGGATGGCTTCTGTTCCCGTGCAGGCCCTCTGTGGCCGAGTGCGCATGCGCGGTTTCCAGATGCCGCAGGCTGGGTGGGTTTTGGCGGCAGGCTACAGGATGTTGGATTGCATCCTGATTGTGTCACCCTTGGAAGAAGAGGATGAATAAACACAGAGCCTTCTCTGCAAGCACAGCACGCCTGAAATTTTGGAGATTTTCAATCTCGCCTGAAAAGAAAAACACTCTAGACTAACCGTTCTGTCCTCCATTTGATCCTGAAGCTGCGATGAGCAGGTGGAACTGGGACTGCACAATGCAGCTCTGTGTGAGGTGCACAGATGCCCCCGATGCCGCTGAAGGCAGCGTTCAGTGGCTTATAAATGGCGGCGTTGTGCGGCATGTTGGGCATGCTGGTGGGAGGGTGTGAAGAGCAGAGAGCCTGGCCTCCTCCAGCCTGCAGCCAGCCTCGAGGAACTCACGGAAGAGTTGGAGAACCAGGATGCATAAAGAAAGGACAATGCATAGTGGAAGGAAACAAGGTCACAGCCAAGGGAGGGGTGTGGGATGTAAGTATGGGCTTGGTTGGAGCAGGTGATGGGGAAAGGGAGAAAGAACTGTGGAGCTCGGATAAAGGGGTGGGTTGGAAGAATAAATTCAGAGTTAAACTGGCTGAGTCTGTGAGGAAGGCCTCAGACTGTGAAGGGCCTCGAATGCCATACTGGGGGTTTTGGACCTGACCCAGGACATCTTATGCTCTCTTTATTGTTTCTGATGTCGGCGCCAGTGAGAGGAAGCTGCCTTTGGGGCCTCTCTGTTGGGTTATGTTTGCAGTCCTTGGGGGAGCCTAGGCTTGAGTGGGGAGGTGGTAACATGATCCCCTGGGGATGGAGGAGATGGAGAAAGGAAGGGTCAGCTGTAAGAACAGAGGCTCTGTGGAGAGAGGGTTATCAGAGAGCAGGTGTTGGGGTAACCCTGACTTGTTGGAAGAGATTGTACAAGTGACCAGAGGGTGCACTTGGAGTCTAGGCTGCCAGCACACACACCTGGCCATCAGCAGTGAAAGGCTGCAGGGACTGAGCCAGGGTGTGGGGGGAGGGGAGAGGGACGGACATCATTAGTCAAGGAGGGCTGATTGAGTGTTTGCGCCAGAGGGTTGTGGTTGGGAGAAGAGAATGGACAGAGGGGTTCAGGCTGAGGCAACAGGCTGTGGCTACTTAGAAGTCAGGGCAGGCTCAGGAGCTGAGCAGATCCCTCTGTCGGAGGGCAGGCAGCCAGGGTCCACTGTCTGGTGTCCACATCAGCATGAGAGCTGCCACCGGTCCTGCTGATCAGTAGCTCCCAGGGCTGCCTTCAGTAGCTCCCAGGGCTGCCTTCATTTGGGCCCGTTTCCTCCCCTCTGGAGCTGTGGGATGGAACTCACACCCTTTGCCTTTCCCTGGCCATGGTCTTTCTACTGGGCAGCCAGGCCTGAGGGGGTCAGGAACAGAGCAGATCTGTTTCTGCCCAACATGGAACCGTCTGAGGCCTGCCCTCACGAGGGCTAACACTGGAAAGGCTGAGCCTGGGAACCTTCTCTTGGAAGACAGCATTCTGTCCCCATTCCCAGGGAAGTGGAGAAGTCATCTGCACAAATTGGAATCTGACTTTGACCCTCTGCTTCGGGTCCTGGTGGTTTCTTTTTATAGTGCTGTGGGCCAGCTCCAGTAGCCCCAGCTCACTCAGGACCCGCTGTCTATCTCTCTCCTGAGGCTGGGCCTCCATATTCTCATTCAGAATCCTCTGTCTAAACTACCAGGGCTGGAGTGGGGGTGGGAGGGTGGCATGAGCCAGAGCCTGGGAGTCCTTAGAGAGCACCACCGAGGCAGGAGGGGTGAGGCCTCAGTCACAGTGCCTCAGAGCCTAGCCCTGAGACCCTGAGGATGTGAGGGAGCACTGGCACTGTTAACAGGGACCATTTCTGCACTTGTTGCTTGGGTGCGTGGGGAGCAAGGGGTGCACGTAGAGAACCGTGAGCCCGGCCCATTGGTTGGGGGAGGGGGCCCTCTGACAGAGAACTAGTGTGAAGGGATCAGGCCAGGCCTGTCTCTGACTGAGTCCTGCTTTTCAGTCAGTGTGTCTGAGGTCTGGGAGGGAGCTGCGGGAACATACACGCTCTCTAGTCTTGGCCTCTTGAAATCTTTATTTAAGATCTGGGGACCGTCTGGGGCCTTCTCTTGGGCAGGAGGACAGGATAACCCTCAGGGGTTGCAACTAGGGTAGATGGTTCCCTGGGCCGTCCATGCTAGAAGCTGCCCCAGGCCCAGGCATCGCTTGCCAGCCCAGGCAGAAAGGAGGCAGGCGTGAAAGCCCTTTCCTGGAATTGGGCATCCTGGGGGGCACTGGGCTTCCTCTCTGGAAGCTTCTTCTGGAGTTGGAGCTCTGGTGCGCTCACACAGTGTACTGAGATTTGCTGAGAATTCAGATGGGGGGGTGTCACTGGGGTTTGGCCTTTCCCCACGTGGCCCCTGTTCCCCAGTGGGCTCACTGCCTTGCTCCGTTTCTCTGTTGGCAGAATGCAGAGCCAGAGCCTCGGAGCCTCTCCCTTGGGGGCCACGTGGGCTTCGACAGCCTCCCGGACCAGCTGGTCAGCAAGTCGGTCACACAGGGCTTCAGCTTTAACATCCTTTGTGTGGGTATGTGTCATGGTCTGGCCGGGGATGGCCTCAGATGGTGGGGGGGACAGGAGCCATCCAGGAGATGGGATGCTGCTGCCCTGTCCATCTGTGGAGCTACCATGGACCTCCCAGGCAGAGAGACTCTCTGGGGTCAGGGTGAGGCTTTGACTGGTGTCTTTGCCAGGGTCAAGGATAGGACTTGGGGGCCTGACTCACTTGAAGAGTAAACAAAATTAGACATGTGAATGTGCTTTGTAAACTCAGACTGTTTATCACAGTGGTATAGATTTGTGTATTTGTGTTAAAAACATTTGCTGTCCGTTCCTACTGTGTGTCAAGGACACTGAGGTAAATGAGACTCCCCTTCTATTACACTATAATGTGGTAAGAGTTCCAGCACGCATCTGAACAAATAGAGCCCTGAATGGGGAGGCTCCGGGAGGTTCCTTGAGCGTCAAGACCTTGGGCTCCCAGTGGGCACGAAGAACTCTGCCAGACCCTCCACAGGTGCCTACGCCCTGGCATCTGCTAGGCTGTTGGTGTGCCTCAGGGAGCAGCCTGTCCTGAGCCGGATAAAGCTAGATGGATCAGGAGGCCCCTGCTGGCTTCACACCCCAGCCCTGCTAGGCCCATGACCAGCCCGGGCCCAGGAAGGATGGTGTGCAGAGCAGGTGACTGGGCCCACTGAGGCCAGCAGAGCTACTGTCCAGTGGCTCTTACAGCTACCCTCATAGCCATAGCTTATGACTGAGTCAGCCTTCTGGCCCTTGCTTCCACACGTTATATTTGAGGTCACCTAGAAGGGACGACAGTTCCTGGGGGTGGGGACAGTGAGGCGTGGAGTTAGAGGCCTGCCCCCCTCTCTTATGTGGAGGCTGAGGATGCTTGAGCCCCAGCATCCTAGCCAACAGCCAGGGGTAGCCCCAGCTCCAGCCTTTGACACCCCCTCTCCTCCACTCCTTGCTCCCCAGGGGAGACTGGCATTGGCAAGTCCACACTGATGAACACGCTCTTCAACACGACCTTCGAGACTGAGGAAGCCAGTCATCATGAGGAGTGTGTGCGCCTGCGGCCCCAGACCTATGACCTTCAAGAGAGCAATGTGCACCTCAAGCTGACTATTGTGGACGCTGTGGGCTTCGGGGATCAGATCAATAAGGATGAGAGGCAAGAGGCGGGAAAGGCGGCCCGCCTAGGCTTTCCCCTCCCCCCCCTCCCCCCGCCATGGCAGCCTTGGTTCTAACACTCTGCCCCAGAGCTCTTCATTCCAAGCTGCCCCCATGTAAATCAGCCAGCCTCACAGCTCATGGGGGCCGGAGGAAGGCCTCTCCGGGAATACCTGAGGTCCTGAGGACCCCTTTAGAAGTTAGGAGACAGGGTTGGCCAGCTGTCCCCAGACAGGGACCCTCAGGCAGAAGCTGCTTGTCCTCACAGAGGAAAGGCTGGTGGGCAGCCCCACGCCCTGCAGCTCAGAGCCTGCCTCCTGGGTGATGGAGCTGTCTGTAGTTACAGGCCCATAGTCGACTACATCGATGCGCAGTTTGAAAACTACCTACAGGAGGAGCTGAAGATCCGCCGCTCCCTCTTCGACTACCATGACACGAGGATCCACGTCTGCCTCTACTTCATCACGCCCACAGGGCACTCCCTCAAGTCCCTGGATCTGGTGACCATGAAGAAGCTAGACAGCAAGGTATGCACCTTCCCACCCCACACTTGTACCCTGGGCTTCATGGTCCTCCCCGGAGTTGGGGGCTGTGGTGTGACTGCCCACTATGTTCCTGTCAGGGGCTCTGGTGCTTAGGGGCCTACAGATAGGCCCATGGGTTGGTCATCTTTCTATCTTCTCTTGCATTTGTCCCTTCTGCTCCAGTGGGCTCCCCTCACTCCGCTCTTTCTCTAGAGCTCTGTCTCCTGGGCCTGAGCCCCTTCCTCTTAGCTGAATTGATTTTTATTCTCAGGTCAAAGCTGAGTTTGCCCAGAGGACTGATTTTGGGGCTGAATGGTGGTTTGGGGGAACCACCATAAGAAGGAGCATAGGTGATTGTTACCGCTCATTAGAAAGCCCCCAGTGGCTGGATTTAGGCTGGGACTACCCATGGGAGCAGCTCCATCATCTCTCTGGCCTCCTGCCCTTCTGCCCAGGGATGGGGCCTGGGCAGGGCTGTCCACAGTCAGGGAGAACTAACCTGTTGCCCCTCTCCGCTGATCCTGACAGGTGAACATTATTCCCATCATTGCCAAGGCTGACACCATTTCCAAGAGTGAGCTCCACAAGTTCAAGATCAAGATCATGGGCGAGCTGGTCAGCAATGGGGTTCAGATCTACCAGTTTCCCACTGATGACGAGGCTGTTGCCGAGATTAACGCAGTCATGAATGTGAGCATTGGGCACTGGCTTCAGGACCAGAGGGCTTGGAGGCAGCACAGATCTGTGACACACAGCCCCAGAGACTCTGGTTTCCCAGGATTCCAGCCTTAGCTTCTCCAGGAAAGACAGATGGGCATCTGGGACCCAGCAGGCCCTATATCCTGTGGCCAGGAGATGGGAGGAATTGGGTATTGGGCTGGTGCTGAGCCTTCCCTGAGTTTAAGTTTCACAAGATAAGGATTCTGGGCAGGAGTAGAAACCTGGAGGAATAAGCAGAACAGATGCCAGGGCTTGGAAGCTTGGAAGAAAGCCAGATTTTCAGGTCCTGTGAGGGAGCCTCTGTTGGCCCCTGGGGAGCCCAAGGGCTGAAAGGACCCCTCGAACATGAGAAGAGGGGTGCAGGTTCAGCCTACTCCCCTATTTGGAGGCTCTAGGATACTTCTCCAAAAGAGAGCCAGGAAGTGAGCCCTGGCCAGGCCTTGTTTAGGTCTGGCCACCCCTCCCTGGGGCCCAGGACAGGGTATGTCCACTAGTCTGTCAGCCCAGTGCTGAGCCATCCTTGGGCTCCTTTCCAGGCACACTTGCCCTTTGCCGTGGTGGGCAGCACCGAGGAGGTGAAGGTGGGGAACAAGCTGGTCCGAGCACGGCAGTACCCTTGGGGTGTGGTGCAGGGTAAGTGTGGTGGGGAGAGCACATCTGCTTTCGGGGGCCCAGATGTAGTGCCCTGTCCTTCCTGCCCGCAACCTCTGTCCCGTGTCCTCCCTAGGACCATCTCTTGCCCGTCCTGCCTCTGGAGTCTGCCTGTAACACTTCGACCACTGTGTGTCCTTTCCTCCCGGTGGCTGTCTGCATGCCCACCTGATGGCCCACATGTCCTGTGCTTTCAGTGGAGAATGAGAACCACTGCGATTTTGTGAAGCTGAGGGAGATGCTGATCAGAGTGAACATGGAGGACCTCCGAGAGCAGACCCACAGTCGGCACTATGAGCTCTACCGGCGCTGCAAGCTGGAAGAGATGGGTTTCCAGGACAGCGATGGTGACAGCCAGCCCTTCAGGTGACAGCCTGATCCAGGAGGGAGCCTGTCTCCACAGCCATGCTGGCATCTATGCCTGGGGTCTCGTGAGCCAGGGAGAGAGGCTATGGGTCCCCAGCATTGCCATCACCCCCTGCCCCATGCCCACACGATCCCCCTTCTCTGGCTCTGCCCTACCCCAGCCTGCTGCTGTCCCACCCTTGGCCTCCTCTCTTCGGGTTTCTGCAGCCTGCAAGAGACCTACGAGGCCAAGCGCAAGGAGTTCCTGAGTGAGCTGCAGAGGAAGGAGGAAGAGATGAGGCAGATGTTTGTCAACAAAGTGAAGGAGACGGAGCTGGAGCTGAAGGAGAAGGAGAGGGAGGTGTGTGCGGGCTCGGGTTTGTGGTGAGCCAGGTGAGGGAGGGCAGGGACTGGCAGGGGCCCCATGAAGCCCGAGCTCCCCCACTTCTGCTCCCAGCTCCACGAGAAGTTTGAGCACCTCAAGCGGGTCCACCAGGAGGAGAAGCGCAAGGTGGAGGAAAAGCGGCGGGAACTGGAGGAGGAGACCAACGCCTTCAACCGCAGGAAGGCCGCGGTGGAGGCCCTGCAATCCCAGGCCTTGCATGCCACCTCCCAGCAGCCTCTGAGGAAGGACAAGGACAAGAAGAAGTAGGTGGTGGGCCCCTTGTCCCCCAGGCTCTTTTTCCCTCTGGGTGCCCACTCCATCCTACTCTTGGCGCCTTCGGTTGACTTTCGTTCTCACCCATGCTCGCCTGTTCACTGCTTAGCTCTCATTCCCCTCTGTGTTCCCACCTCATTCTTGCCTACCTGCCTTTCCTTCTCGCTGGTGAGCTAGAGATCTCAGGATACCAGGTATCTGTGCACTCTGTCTTGCACAAGTGACCCCTTGCTACCCCCCCACCTCTCCCTCTTCTCTCTCTCTCTTTCTCTTCTCTCTCTCTCTCTTTCTCCCTCTCTCTCCCCTTCTGCAGCCCCTTCAGAGCTAGGCTGGTGAAGACTGAGCCAAATGGGCAGGGTGTGGCCCCTGAGAGGGAGTAGAGGTCTCAGGGAAGGTCTTTCCAGCCCGGAGAGGGGCAGGGCCTGGGAATGTCAGCATTTCCAGATTCCAGAAGCTCCTGTGGTTTCTGCTTGGGCAGCTGTGGTGCATTCCCCCTCAGTCTCTGAGACAGTGGATATGGGACCCGTGTGGGCTGGTAGGTGCTGACGGAGGGCAGCAGACACTTGAGTCCCAGCAGCACTGACCCCTTGGGCAGTATGCTCACTGCCTGGTGGAAGGAAGGACAGCAGCTCCCTGGAGGGGCTCTGGGGATCCTGTGCCATAGACGGGCTGCCCTTCAAGTTAGATTTGGTGAGAAAAGGACTGGGGAGGGCAAGGAGGCTTTTCCCAGCCTCCAGGAGTGCAGTCAAGTTCTTGGCCAGGTGGGGGCAACTCTGAGTCATTTCTCCTTGGCTTTTTTTGGAGGCTCTTTCCACACTCTAAGCTAGAGTTTAGATGCCCTGGCTCCTGGGGATCTCCTTCCTCTACCTCAGTTCATTCAGCATCCCGCACTGCATCACACTGTGGAATCTCGTCCATCCCTGCTTCCCTATGTCCCTGGCCTGTGTCAGGTACCCTCTCTCTTGTCAAGTGAGGAACAAAGCAAGTGATTCCATTTTTATCATCCTTGGGCTCCTTGGACCCCCATTTCTTCTTGGAATGTTTGGGAACATGTGTGTCCAGGCCCTCCTTTCCTTGCCCTGTGGTTAAGGCCGTGCAGCGCATAGGAAGCTTTTGGCTCTGCGATGCTGCCTTGTGGCCTTGGCACTCTCCCCACCTCTAACACTGTACTCCCCTTCCCAGCATGCACCCACCCACCCACACCCCCACACCCACACCCACAGGGTCTGTCTTACTGTCACTCCAGCCCCATCACATGCACAGACTCAGGCATGTATCTACCAACACACACAGCCCCTAGGACACACAAGCACAGAGGCATAGACACATCTAAGGAAAAGAAACTTCTGACCTCCCTGGGGGAGGCCAGGGGGGACAAAGCCAGACATTTGGGAATTGAATGCTAGTTCTTATGCCTAAGGCCTGTCCTCTGCTTTGGGATAGACCCTCCTCCTTTCTGTAGTCTCCCTCATCTTGCTCATTGGTGCCCTCCCCACCCTATCTGCAGGTACTCCTGCCAGAGATGGTCCCCTGCCTGTCCCCAGGGAGGACACTAGCCCACATTCCCCTCTGCTCTGTGAATTTGCTCCCTGCTTTGCATTTGTTTCCAGCCTCGGCCCTATGTCCAGCCCTTGGCTTGGTGTGGCTGGGGACTGTGAATTGGAATCCATGTGGGTTTTAAACGAGTGCCTCAGAAATCTGGTTTCTCCTAGAAAGGGGTGTGTGGGTCTGTGTCCCAGGTGTTGGCACCTAACAAGACTTTGTCCTGCTCCCCGCCTCCAGGGCCCAGGCCATCTGGTTTCAGAAAAGGCAGGTAGAGTCTACTAGGAAATAAGTTATGGAAAACCCCCTCAGAACGGAAGACAAGGACCTGTGGCCAGGTCAGGGCCAGGGGGAGGAGTGTAGGCTGGCTGCACTCTGTATCAGCAGAGCCCTCAGGGTGGGCATCCATCCCCATGTCAGGTCTGGGAGACAGGTGTTCTCTGCTTGCTGGACATGCCAGAAAGCTTCAGTCAGTTTGGCCCCTGGGAGAGACCCTGTGCTCCCATGCTGGCCTTGCACGGGCCAGGAGTAGTCTAGGTAAGATGGCTAGGAGCGCTCCTTCCTCCTGTCCTGGTCAGGGAAAGGGGGTTGGCGCAAAGTGCATTGGAGGTGGTGGTGGTGGGTTGTTTTTCATGGCCATTTAGTTGAATTGCTTTGATGGGTTATGTGTGGTCTTCAAATTTTAATCCGTTTTTGCAAAATTACTTCCCAATCAGATCTTGACCCTCAGCCTGGGATGCCACAAACTGAAGCGAATTCTCTGCTTTGCTCGTCACAAATGCCAAACTGACTGCCCTTTCCCAGCGTCCAACTTGCTGTCTTTTGTTTCTGTTTGATTTGGTCGTCTGCGTAGCTTTTAATGTGTCTGTTTTTGTTTTGTTTGTTTTATTTTTATTTTTCAGTTAACGCACGCACAGACTTACATGTCAAGAGCGGACTTTAGACTTTCATGTGTTAAGTTGCTTGAGTTACACCTTGTGACCCTTCTTCTCCCATAACATGGTGTGAGGACGGACTGGGAGCTGGTACAGACTCCAGTGTTTACAGCCTTGCTTTGTCCCTTGCCCCCACCTGCTGGCTGCCCTGGGCCTGGCGGGCCACCCCTCTCTATGCAAACACGTCAAAGCCATGAATGCTGGAATCCAAAACTGACAAGGTTTATTTTTTTCAGAGCCAGTGGCTGGTCTTCCATTTACAGTGTCACTATTCCTTGACGGAGCAGTTAAGGGCCACTCTCGCGAAGGCCCGAGCCGGCGATGCTTGGCCTAATTGTTCAGCGTCAAGATGGCAGCTGACGCGGCGCCCTAGGTGTGGCCGTGTGGTCTGGTATACGTGCTGCAAAATTCACCCGATTCCCCTTCATTTTAATTTTTCTAACCTAGAGCTTCATTTCAATAATAACTTTTAGGATACTTCTAAATTTTTATTTTGGCACAAGCGTAAAGACTGATAATACCCTCTCCCATTATTTTCATAAGTAACCCAGATTCCCTGATTTTTAAGAACTAAAAATATCTCTAAACCTTTCTTATGTATACAGCATCCCTATAATATTTAGGGAGAGGTGGGCAATAAACGTCCTGTAATGACAGTGTTTGGAATTTCTTTATGGCTGGAAGTGGATCATGAACAAGACCACGTCCAGTGTTTTTAACGCGAATGTAAATGGAACAGCAGCCCAAGCCGCTGTCTGTGTGCTCCAGAGGTGCTACCTGGAAACAGGGACCAACTCCACATGTGTGTTAAGTGTTTGACTCCAGCTAAGACCGCCCCCCCCCCCGACCAATCCTGAATGTTCCCAATGCAGAGGACTCAGCTGGGAAAGGTTTTTAATCTCAAGGTCATTGTTTTCTGTTTTCCTGGCTGAGTCACAAGGAAAGAGATGAAGGTGTCTGATGTGTGTGGACAATTTCAGAAAATGCTACCAGCAAGGGAGCTTTCCCCTCTCCACTGCATTCTTCAGGGGATCATTTTAAGAAAGTACTAGCAACATTGATTCTACTCTGTTCCTGTTGGTTTGTGAGCCAGTGGGAGTGTCAGGGCTGGGAATATGGTGTGATGAAATAGGAGATGAAAAATGAGTAGCTCAAAGATCTCATTCATTGTTAATGGGCCACTGTGCTGGGTACAGGCTCCCTGGAGTAACCCACATCCCTACCCTCAAGGGGCTCACAGTCGAGAACACTCCCTAGTCGGAAGTCTTGGGAAGTTGTGCTAATTTATTGTTGGATTGGTTGGTTGTTTTCCCTTGTCCTCCATCCTCCTTCCTGTCACTGTTTCCCCCTTTCTGCCTTGGCCCTCTTTATTGATTTCCAGGACCAAGTCCTGGCTTCATGCTGTGCTTCTGAGATGGGGCTCCATTCAGAATGGGGAGGAGGGGTGAGCTCTGTGTGTCCATAGAGGCCCAGTAGGAAAAAGGAAGCCCTTTCCTCCTCACCAGGAGCAGAGCAGGTTTATGAACGCCTGGAGTGAAACTCTCGCATGTCCTGCCATGACTAGGGGTGGATCCAGATTTTGAAGGGCTTCATTGTGGCCATTCAAAAGGCAAATCGGCCTGTACCTAAGGCCCATGTGGGCTGCAAGTGACTTGGCTTTAGGGGGATTGTATGTCTGAGAGGTCTGCAGTTGGGTTGAAGTGTGACCTTTAAGATAGCCTCCGTCAGCTAACACATTTCTGAAGATGAGGCTCAGTGACCCAGCGGATTCACTGGGTATATAAGAAATGGAGACTCCTGGTTTGTGGGGCAATCTGGGGACGCTGAGTGGACATTTCTGCCACCCATCTACCACAGTCTGTGGGCTGCACCCCAGGCACACTGGAATGCCAGGATTGTGGCTGGTTACTGGCCTGCGGGTACGGGGCTTCCCAGCATCTCTGGGGAGACCTGTCACTGTTAAATATTCTGGGGTCTGAGATGCTCCCACAGGTCCCATTGGCTTTAGGGAGCCTGACTGCCCATCTCTCTCTTTGCTGCTTGTGTTTGGAACTTTATCATCTTTAGCTGAGACCAAATTAGTCCTGGGAGCACAAGGTGAGCTTAAAACGTGCTATCATTTAACAAGCTCCCCAGCCCGGGATGTGAGCCCTGTCTGTGGGATCTGATGTGCCACTCCTTTTCAGAATCCTCTTTTAGCATTATTGGAGCTGTCAGCGGGCTTATGCTGGCATTTACTATCATGTCTTTCATAAGCCAAGTTGATTTGGGGGTAGAATCATGTAATTTATTGTCCAGACTGAGACTTTGCAGAGTAAAAGGAGGTCCTGTTAATAATTATGCCAGATCGACAGGTGTAAGCTGGAATGGCCTAAGACACACCAGGCTGTACGGTGACCCCGGTGATGGGTAACCTGAGCCTAGGTGGTTTGTAACTGTGCAGACTGACTGCATATATGTTTCTGTATGTCTGTGTGTGGATGCTCATTAAGTGGGGCTCCTATTGCTGGGTAAGAGGCCCCAGAGAGGTGTGGCTTGCTCCTTTGTTATGTTAACAAGCTTTTCTAAAACTGCTTCACTTGTTAATTCATTTATTCCTTCATACATTGACTGTTTTTGTTCTTTTCCATTCACTTTGTACTCTTTTTTTTTCCCATTAAATTTTGCATTTATTTTGAGTTTTTGTGGTGTCTTTTTTGGGCAATAGCTTTTCTGATTTAACACATTTCCTAGCCTATTAATCTGCTACAACTCTGGTAAAATACAGCTTGTCTTTTCTGTGAACTTTGTGGGGTTGATCAGCTTCTATAGGAGCTATGTTTTAATAGTGACTCCTGCTCTGGGCATCTGTGAAAGGCTCTGGAAGGGGTATGGGATAGAGGAAAAAGTTAGGGAGGAGAAGACACAGCCTGTGGTCCAGGCATCTTCGATGGGCGATTGGGTGTAGGACCAGGAGAGTGCAAACACTGCCTTTTCAGAGTTTATATCCTTGTGCAGTAAGCTTGACGCAGGACAACTAACATTTGAGTTCTTGTGGTATATCAGCCATTGCTCTAAGTTGCATTATGTGCATTAATTCTTTTCATCCTCATAATAATCCTATGATAAAGTATTGTTTTCCCCATTTCATAGGTAAGGCACAGAGAGGTAAAGTAACTACCCAAGGTCACACAGCTAATAACTAGGGGAATTGGGATTTGAATGTTGGTAGTCTATATCCTTAATTCTGGAGCTATAGCTCCTCCGTGGCAACCCAGTGGGATGACAGAAGAACAGTGAAAATGTAGCCAAAATTCAAGTGTGCAGTTTGGCAGGGTGGGTTGGTGGACTTGAGTCAGTTTTGTCGAGGTGGGATGCCCTTTCTGGGTGACTATTTGGTTGAGGAAGGGCAGACTGGTGGTTGAGGGAAGTGATGACATCTTGTAGATCCACTTGTTGAGGAGCTTTCTCTGTTGGGCACTAGATTCATCTCAGGGAAGACCAAAATGAGGAGAGGGAGACTAAGAGCAGGGAGCTGACAGCCCAGCAGGGAGACTTGTGTGCAGACATTGCTAATGAAAGTCCCGCTCAACTCTGCCTGCAGGGAGACAGGTAGCAGGGAAGCAAAGTGTTTACCGAGCTTTGAAGGATAGAGATTCTCCAGAAACCAGGGGAGAGAAAGGCCTCATTGGTGGAGGGAACAGCACTGCACAGCTCACCCATCTGGGGGAAGTACTTATTTGGACAAGAATTTAAAAGGCGCATGCTGCTCACCTACCCTGCTCTCAGCCCATCTGCCCAAGTCTCCACACAGCTCCATTTTCTGCATCCACAGTCCCTCACCAGCCCCTGCCCTTCTGGAGATGGGGACAAGAGCGAGACAAATTGTGTGCATATTTCTCCCACCACAATGATCCCCAATCTCGGATCTGAGGTGGGAAAGGAGTTCCTGAAGGAAAAAAGGGGAGAGTAGGATGGGACCTGGAGTCCCAAGCGTGCTTGAACAGCGTAACAACTTTTCTTAAACTCACAAGTGCACTTTGCTTTCCGGAAGAGGAATATGGCTTCCTGGGAGGTGGAGCTGTAGCGCTTATCCCAGTCCAGGGCTCACAGGTTGGCCTTCTCTTTTTTCTCATTTGCTCTGATTGAAAGATTAGCCCTGAGGACCCAGTTTACACCCAGAGCTATCCGATTAAGAGACTCTGCAGTTCCTCCAAGTCAGAGACAGCCTGAGGTGGGGTGAGCCCACAGGGTGAACCTGTATTTCCCCAGCCGGTGCCAATCCCAGTGCAAGGAAGGAGGCGGAGGGGGTCGTGGCCCCAGTGGGAGTTGCCCTGAGCAGCGTGCTGCCCCCAACGCCACCCCCCCATCACTGCCAGACTGTAGCAGGTTGTTGCCAGGACCCAGGAGATGATGTTCCAGGTATACTGGACTCTTAAGTCCACATCCATGGTATCAGATCCACTGAAAATAAGATTCTGACGAGGTTGAAAGGAATTCAAGTTTATTTTTACAAAAGCTCCAACAAGCAAATCTGTGTGGAGAAAAGGTAGAGATTCGCACAGACACTAGTACAGTTTATCTGGTCTCTGGCCACTCTGCACCTACGAGCAGTCCCCATGGCTTAGCGCATTTACAAAAAACTGCTCAGGGTGGAAAGACTTCACAAATGACTGGTAAAAACGTGGTTCAGTCACTCCTATCCTCCACACTACCGACAGGGCTCTAGCTGGCAGAGACGGCCGTCTAGGGAACGGCTCTTGGTGTCACTGTCAGACAGCAGTGGGCCTCTCCCTCTCAGCTGTGCTCGGAAGCTCCTCCCAGCAGCACCAGGGCTGCGCAGACGCAGCCTCAGAAGCTGCTCATCTGAACCCAAAGCTCTCTGAGCTGTGTTCCCCCTTTGGGGGTCGGTGGCTGAGATCATTCTTTCACACAAAATTCCTCTAATTAAGCTAATAGACAACTTTCAGAGTAACAGGAAAAAATATATTTTAAGCTTGATCAAATTACTGTACATTAAACAAAGCATCCTTTATGATCTAGTTTTTGTAAGAGAATACCTAAGTCAGGGCCAAGTCAGGGGAAATGCACCTGGAGAGATGGTCCCATTTTTGCAATGATGGGCAGGGTCACTGGGACTTGAACTGCTAGGTTTGTGCTTGGTACAAACCTGGGGAGCTGGAAGAACCTGGCCAGCTCTGGCTGGTAGAGCAGCAAGAACTGGTCAGTAAGAACCAGCCCCACTCTTCAGACCCAAGCAAGGCCCACCACTGTCTTGACTCCAGCTCCCTGAGGGACCCATACTAGCCCTTGCTGCAGAAGGAAAACTGAGCGGCACTATGATTCTTCATTCCTAAAACCAAGCAGTGGCTTGGTTTTTTAGACTACCCTTCCCACCAGTGACCATGACCTGCCTTTTTTCTCTTTATTGCCTTCTAAAGACTCAGGAACTTTTTCTCAGTTGCTTTCAGTGTCTTCTTCCTGCCTTGTCACACGATCCATAAAGCCTAGAAGTCAGAAGAGTCCCAGCAAGAAGGGGTTGCCATTAGGCTCTAAAGGATACTAAGGTTAGGGGCACAGAGGCTGGCAAGCGGAACAGAAAGTATCTGAGCTGGAGTACACACTTCCCAGATGCTGCTTTACCAGTCCTTTGCAGGGGCTCAACTGCTCAGTACTGACCTGTAATTAAAATAGAGTCTTCATCTTTGAAACAGAACCATTTTACATTCTAAGTCAAATTTTGAGTGCTAAAATATTAGCATAGAGCAACTTCAGGAAGGTCTAACCACTCAACTTAAGGGCATTAACCCCATCTCAGGGACATCCACCTCCACCTTAGTAAAGTTGTCGTTAGTCTAACTGTACATTCCATCTTACCCTGTCCATCCTCAGGGATTCTAACCCTTCCATGCCTGCCTCATGGAACCCCCATACCCGGTCCCATATAGTCCTATAAAGGGTGGGGGTTTGAAATTTAACCTCTCCCATATTAAGCTCAGGGTGGCCTCTTCCTGAGCTGTGCATGTCCCCCTGACCTCACCCCATCCCCTTAACCTCAAGGGCTGCCACTGAGACGAAGCTCTTCTTACTGTCAGAGAAACCCACTATCTGGTCCAGTAAAGGAAACATATCCCATACTTATCCAGAGTGCATACCAAGTGTGCAAAGCCTAGGCCTTAGGGAGACTCTTCATAGAGTCACTACAGCCAGAGCATCTTCTGGAGCCCACAGGGGCCAAGAAGAGTGATGCTACCATTTTGGGGGCAGAGTGCGTCAGCTACATGGGCAAAGTGGAGAGCCTGGTCTGGGGCAAAGTTGATGTCTACCTGTGCTTTCTTTAGCAGATCAGATATAGGAGTACACCAGTCGGGCATGAGCCTCTCCAGCTCTAAGGTGATGATGACCAAGGCGAGTGTGGAACCCTTGAACTGCAGCAGCTGGTGGCCCGCCATACAGTGCTGCAGCTGCCTGGTCAGGGACGCGACGTGGAGGGAAGGATTCCTCTGAGGCAGCAGCTCCACCACGTGGGGCCAGCCCACGACCACCAGGGTGTGGAACTAGAGACCGTGGTTTTTAATGTTAGAACATAAAACCCCTGACCTTTCATAGATAAATGACCAAAAGTGCAAACAATGTCAATTTCCATCAGGGAACATCAAATGTTGCCCCACCCTTTTCACCCCCATCCAGGGCCCCCCAAGGGACTTGAGGCTTAATGCTCATTTTGTGACCAAGCTCAGCTTCACCCTTGGAGAGAAAAGACAATCTGCTTAGTTACATGGTCATTATGAGTTTCAAGTACTTAGATGACAATGTTTCCATTCTGAAAAACAGAAGCATACTATTCAAGATTAAGGTAGCAGGAAAGTTACTTGTATCTGTTTGACATGAGAAGAAACTGCAACTTGGCAACCTTGGCCAGTTTTCATAATGAAACAGCCCTTAGTGATTTAATCTTCATGCTTCATAACAGACCAAACCCCATGACATTTCCACATAGCATAATTTTGCCTTACTAACAGAATCATATCCTTAAGGATGACCATTATTCCCGAACTAAAAAAATACCAACTAATATGACATTTTTTAAGTGCCAGATCAATATGGTCTAAAGCCTCAATAAGGATTGTGTGTAGGTAAATAAAGACAGCTAAGTGAATGTGTGTAAAGTGTAGCAAAACCAGACAGCTTTTTATGTACAGTATTCATAGAATGGAAAGCTCAATATTTTTGCAGTGTGTATTTAAAAGAGAAACTCACCACAATAGTGCCGTCTAAAAATCTTTATAAAGTTAATTTAATGTCTTCTACAAGTGGGAGTCTGGTGGAACTGTGTTGGATTTAAGATACATTTTCACTCTTGCATATGTCGTGAGCCTTGTGGGTCACCTCCCCGTGGTGCATGCGCAAGGGCGTGTGCCCGCCTCTGCTTGGCCATCCTACGTTGTGAACAGCTGTTCCAAAGGTACAGATGAGTCTAGGCTGGACTCAGCCAACATCTGGTACTCACTGTGGTCAAGAAGTCCAGTAGCGTCACAATACAGAGGTCCCAGTGCAGTTTGTCCAAGATAGCCAGCTCCGTCCTCAGCAGCTCATTCGGGGTATAGCCAGAGCCCTAGTGCTTTAAAGAAGTCTTTTCCTTGTGGAAGTAACTGTAAAAAGAAAATAAAGAGGCCAAAGCCCTGTATCATGT